AAACTTCCTTACACGGGAGAAAAACTGTAAATTTTAACAGTGTCGAAGAATAAAAATTTATTGAGAAATATTCTATCACTCGCATTGTCTTTAATCACTTGTGTACAAAAACACCGTGTTTTCATTTTAAACTTGATTTTGATCACAAATTTCATCGAAATCACAATTTCAATATTAATTTGTATTATAATTTTTTTAAATTTATATTATCAGTGGTAATTTTGCCCTCCTGTCTGTTGAAATTACATTTGTTCGCATTACCTGTTGATAATTGCAGATCACAAAAAGCAAACAAATCGAAATGTAATCGTTATTCACTATATCATTCTGTAAATAAGTGAGGTTTGAGTATGGTATTTGTCGTTAATGAGATAGAGACAAGTGAGCATTAAGAAAACCTCATCCCCTTTTCTCTGAATAGAATTATAAATTAGTTTCCAGTTTACAAGTACATGGTAGATAAGTTGCATAAGCCCCTGAGCATACACAACTTGCATTAATAACTGGTTGTTACTATAACACCGCTCGTTTTAAGATTTCATTTGTACAGTGATTCTCACATGTATAGTCGGTATCGATTCTTTCTTGCTCGGGGGTTAATGGCTGCAACAACCGCAAACTCGCAGCGTTCTGTGGATGCAAGTATCAATTTCAGTTAATAAAAGAAATAAACGGGTGGAAACGTACTACCTTGTGTGTTTTGTTGCCAAAAAAACTCTAATAACTTTGGAAACAACGCAGTTATACAGCTTAATTAAAATGTCTTTCGCAATTTAGCTTCAAGTATTTAGTTATTGGATTTATAATGTAATACGTACGTTCTGTTCCGTTTTGATGCTCAATTTGCTTCGAATTATAATAGAAAACTTTACGCGGCTTGAGAAAGGGTTCTTAGCCTGGATAAAATAACAATTTATTGTCTGGCTTTTAGGTTAATATAAAACAAATACATAGGGATAATCTTTCAAAGTTTGACTTAACTTATTGCATATCTTTGAGTACTAAAAACTTTTCGTTTTATTTAATTTTGATTTTGATCTAAGGCTCGCTTTATTACTCTGCTACTTTGAATCTTGTTTTGAAAGAAATTTGAGGGGGAGCAACCTTCTCAGATCTGTTGGTTACTTTCTTTTAGAGAATAAATGTAATGGAAAAATTGATTAGTAATTCAATTTAGACCTTTACGGTAAAAATTAGTTTTGTTTATCTGAAAAATCTTTTGATGTTTCAACCGCGAGCTTTGCAAGTGTTCAAACTTCAAACCGATTAAGTAAAAAGTTAATCCTTGTACTGAAAAGGGTCAAAAGTTTCTTGTGCAATGGTCTGAAAAAAGTAATTTAGAACTTAATGACTTTGAACTAGGCGAAGATGAATTTGTCTTAGTGACCGCTCAGACAGCGGATTTAGAAATAAAGGAACAAAGCCTGTTGAATCAAGCATTTTTTTTTAATGATTTGTAAATATTATTGCAAATTTGACATTTAAAAATAAGTATTTTTGAGGTATTGCGACTTTCCGCATTTATTGAAGTTTTTTCAACATTGATTGATTAATTGTGTTTTAACATTTTTGCGCACCTATATTGAATTCATCGCTTTTTAGCAGCTCCTTTGACATTCAATAAATATACGTTTTGGGATGCTGCGAGGATAATGATTACAAAGTTTTCAAACAAAATATTGTTTATTGTTTGATGTTTATTCGTTGGATAACCATTTCAAGGTATTAACAACAAAACAATTAAATGCTTTTTGAAATATTATTTAAGATAATGTACGATGTGTAGTTCAGTTTCAAATGAGCCCTTTGTATTAAGGGAGTAATTATTACGTTGCAATATGAGTATGTCACTTAATATTTTCACAAAAGCCCCAGAATTTGTTTATAGCAGTGCTGAAATTTAGTACAGATAACATGTCAGAAGCCTCCTTTTCTCTTTAACGTTATTTACTTGTTAATCCTTTAATGAGTCTGCTTTGAGAAGATTTAAATTATAACAAAGCTTGTACATAGTAGGTATGTAAATGTCATTTTATTAAGCACTTATACTAATACGAGTATTTTTTAAACTAATTAATTATAACCATGTTTGTCAACATCTCCTTTTGTAGTTCCTACGTATGTGTTTAACATTGTGTTTTATGTTAACTTATGTACAATTTGTTATTAAAATATGAATAAGGAAAAATAAATAAAACAAACACTACTTTATTGCCCTCTAAAAGTAAAACTCAATTCACATTAACTCTGTTTTTTTTGTTATGTTTATTAAAATTTATTCAACAAACATGAAACAAAAATTTTCACAAGTAATATAATTTTTCCGGGAATGCAAATGTCATTAAATTATGCTCCAACTCGGAAGTTTGTTAAACTGTATTTGTTGTAAAACATAAATCTTGTTATCTATGATATATAAATTGTGTTTCACTAATGTAAAATATGTATATTATGAAAAAAAAAATAGATAAATTTGTGGATGTGTGTCTTCAAACATACGTTTATGTAATTTAGTTCAGTTTTCATATTTATGCACCATTTAGAATTACTGCAGTACTGAATAGTGGCATATTTTAGCTTTTAAACCTAGACATTTCAGAATAATAAACGTGGAAACGAATGCACGCTCACTACATGAAAACGATGTCGTTAATAGTCATTCGTAAAAACTTAGTATAAATGCTTGATGTCCTACATCCTTTGAATGTGTGTTAAACTCACTAGAAATGAATGCAGTTTGCTGTCAGTTATCAGATTCTGAAAAATTTTATTCAAATATTGCATACATCTAATAATTTTTAATTTTTTTGTTTTACTATTTATTACTTCATTTCTTATTTTTTTTAATGTGTTTGCTATTGTAAACACCTACTCCTTTTAACTTTCTAGAACTTGAATGTAAGTAAAAAGAACAATAGACACGAAGAACCAATAGTCCACATAAAAGGTGAGAATGAATGACTAAAGTTTGGGAAATTTCTCATTAAGAGGATCATTAGTCTTTGGTATATCTGTCTTTTAAGAGTGAATTTCAAATCGTTAAGTTTTGATAATAAATAAATCATTATTGTATACAGTGAGTGGCAAAATTATGAAATAATCTTATTAAAACTGAAAATATTTTGTTTTTGCAAAAATGCTCGAAGAGGTCTATTTTCTTTTTAAGAAATACACAATTTTCAACTTGATTTAAAGTTTTACCCTTTTTTATTTTTAGTCATTAGATACCCAAATAGTAAATCTTACATAAAGTTTTCGAAAAAAATTACTAAAAAAGTGAAATAATATCAACTAAAAACATACAATTTTAAACCAAGTTAAGAATTTATTACTTAAAAAGAAAATTGACTTGTTCGAGTATTTCTGTCAAAATATAATATTTTCAGTTTTAATAAATAAGATTATCCCATAATTTTGCCGCTCACTGTATATCTTAGACCTACTTTTATAATTATAGCAAATAAAAACTAGTTTTTTAGTTATTTAATGTTAACTGACGCTAACTAAACTTAAATTTAATTTTGCCTAGTCAAAATTAGAACTGACTAATAAACTAGTTTTTACTAAAAATACGTTACGGAAACTCGAACTCGCGCCCTAGAAAAAAAATTCAAGTAAAATAAGATATCAGAAACTTTAGGATACAGCTTCCTAGTTTCCTCTTCTAATAGCCTATAGCAAAGAAACTTGAAAAATTATTTTTTCAACAGAAATAAATAGAGTCAAAGTGCAAAATTTAAACTTCCATAACTTCGAAATTTTTATAGATACATTTTTTTAAACATTTTTTTCCTACGAGCATATACGAAACTAGATCATAACGCACAATTACATATGCGCGAAAATTGGCAATATCGTACTAGGTCGAAAACCTGTGCTATTTGTTTTCGCACTGTGTGTTAGAAATCTAACGCACAATTCACGCTCAAATGTTTTGTATTTTTTCATTTAACGTATTTTTTTTGTATCCATTATAAAAAATAAATCGTTATTCAACGTATTTTTGTATCCATTATAAAAAAATAAATCGTTATGAAAAAAAAAATATGTTCGTAAGAAAAAAATTATTTATTCGTAGGAAAAATAGTGTACAAAACTTGCAGGCTAACGCCTCGTGCGCAACTTACCCGCTTGTGCGTTATTTATCACTTTCCGTGCTCGTTATGTAATATACTATTTCATGTTCCTGGTATCTTATCTTATACATGACATTTTTCTCTAGGGCGCGAGTCCTGAAATTTTGACTTCTATTGAGCTCTACTATCACTTGTTCAAATATTTGCACTCACTTTAAAATCAATCTGTATGTTGTGACGTATTAATAAATGTGAGTTTCGTTGAAAATAGTTAAAATCATTTATCTAGTATCCGTTAAATTGCAAAATATTTAGTTTAGAGTTTGCTTAGCTGAAAGTCCGATCCAATTTCCAAGCGTAATAAAATCATGAAAACATTATAAGCTACACACGTGAGATGATATCGTCGGATAAGGTTTTGTTGAAATATTAAATTTTCGATTTTATTCTTTAGGGCGGATGATTACATTGGAAGTTGTGCAGAAAACATTCGAGTAGTAGAGAATCCGGCAATCTCAGTTTACTTATTTGCAGTAAGGATTGTCTTTCTCGCTCATCGAATTACGCAAAGCATAAATCATATTAAGGAACTTAATTCCGGCAACTGTTCTAATATTTTAAGCACACACGCCATTGTCGAGCTGGGCAATTCTGCCGATTCCCGAGATATCAGCTCATAGCTTGTTTACCCACTCGACTAGATCGCATTTTAATTTGCAGCTTAATAAAGCCGAGCGCTGGAATCCCAAGAATGTTGAGATTTTAAGGGGTTGGATTTTTGGTCTTAATAATATTTTAATACATACTCGTACGTTTCTTCTTGACTAGTCGAATCGTTTTATTATAAATGAGAAGAGGAAGTTTTTAGACCCGAAATAGTTGTTAACAGTATAACAAACTTCATTCGTTCGTGTATAAACTTACCAAGAATTCCAAGACGGAAATTTAGGGTAACCACAATGACGTGTCCGTAAGAAGCAAGAACGCTGCCGTCGTAGGGATGACCTGCGCCCCACTCGAAGCTTTCACCATGCACAAATACGAGAACGGCGTAAGGAGCCTCGAAGCCGCGGTTTCCTGAAAAGATCAGATGGTGTTAAGTGGTTGACTTTCACTATTTGCATTTCCAAGCTGCCAAGACACATTTCCACAAACTGTACTAAACAGGGTGTGTCAGATCTTTAAAAAATTCTATTTGGAAAAAAAATTGACAGTTGACATTTTTTTTGACAGTTGACATGTTTTTATGTCTATTTAATGATACTGATCGTCGTCTGCGTTGATTGACAGTAATTTATTGAAGTTAAGGAAGAGTCTTAAAACAAATACTTTTATAAAAATGCAATTTTAAGTAAGTTGTTTGAAGTGTCTACGGCTTCTAAACATTCTCCTAGTCGGTTGGTAAACGATAACAAAACATGTCGCATCGTTTGAGAGATGCTTTAATATCAAAGAGACAAGAGTAATAACAGCTATCGTGGATTCAGTTTAATTATTTTCAAAATTTGAAATCAAGAAATTGTTGCAATATGTATAATGGGTTCCGACAAAAAAAACAGAAATAACTCTTTCGTGAATAACTCTGTATATGTTTTTGTTATAATTATTTAGTAAAGATACAAAAATTTTGCCAATAAAAGCCTCAAATACAATTAAACGGGGTACCAATTTAGGATACAGCTTCTTTGTTTCCTCTTCTAATAGACTGTATCAAAAAAACTTGAAAAATGATTTTTTCAACAGAAATAATCAAAGAGTCAAAGTGCAAAATTTAAACTCTCATAACTTCGAAATTTTTATAGAAATTTTTAACATTTTTTCCATGTTCCTGGTATTTTACTTTACTATGGGGCGCAAGTTCTGACGCACTCTGTATAAATAAACAACTTTTTCTTCGTTTTTTATATTAGAAATTTGAAGTTTCTTTGTAACACAAACTTGGTTTCTTTAAATTAGCTAAACAGTTTTTCTGCATCTTAAATGTTAGCTGAATAATATAAATGCAAAGCCTGATGTAAAAACTTACTTCTAGAAACTTTCATTCTGAAAATACGAAAAGCTCATCAAACGGTTGAGTAAACTTTTATATTTATTGAACAACAATGAATAAAAGAATGCAAACTTTAAAATGGATTTAGAATTTTGGTTTAGTTTTATTTCTTGACACTGAGAACAGTTGTACATCTACGTAAAAAGACTTTGAAATTTTGTAGTCAAAAAATTGCATAATATTTTTATTATAAATTATTACATTCGGTTTTATATTAAAACAAATCGAAGAAACTTTGACTTTTGACTTATGCTGTTTCAAAGACTATTAATAGTTTCTTATTTTTTCACCATCTTGGAAAAAAGATCAATATTATACAGTGGGCGCCAAAATTATACAATAATCTTATTTATTAAAATTGAAAATATTTTGTTTGAACAAAAATGCTCGAATAAGTCAATTTTCTTTTAAAAAAATACAAAATTTTCAACGTGATTTAAAATTGTATGTTTGTTTCTTGTTGATATAATTTTACTTTTTAGATGCTTTTTTTTAGAAAACTTTATGTGTAATATTTAATATTTTGGTGATATCATTTCGACAATTAAAAGATCTATCGAAATGTCTAAAAAATTAGGGGTTTCCATTAAAAAAAAAATATCGATGACTTCATTACTCAAAAACCAAAAAGTATAAAATATTAAATAGACCAAATATTTTCAGTTTTAATAAGATTATTTCATAATTTTACCGCTCACTGTATACAGTAATGATTTATTTATTATCAAAACTTAACGATTCGAAATTCACCCTTGAAAGACAGATATTTTTAAATATCAAAGACTAATGATCTTCTTAATGAGAAATTTTCTAAACTTTAGTCATTCATTCATTCTCACCTTTTATTGGTTCTTCGTATTTATTCTTCTTTTTACTTACATTTTGCCGCTCACTATATTTTTTACAATTTCATTAATAAACAAATTACCCTTAAAATCCTGTAGAAATTTATCAGTATAATCACGCGCTTTTGGATCCCGCAATTTTGGGTTTACAAGCATTTTATGTTTGTCACAAATCATATATCATATCGAAACCAGAATTATAAACAAAAGCGATTGAAAATTTAAATCGCATTACAGGAAAATTATGTTTTAATTAGCTGCTTGCATTTGATAAATCTGTCCAGCACAAACTTCCTAAATAAATGAATTGTTTGACCAAAATTAAAAACTTTTTCTCATAACTTGTCATTTTTATTAAATTCTTGGTAAAAATTTTTAGAGGAAACGAGAGCGGCAGTTTGTTCTATCATTATTTTTCTTTCTTTGAAAAAGTAAAGCGCTTTTTAGATGCTAAAAGACAGTTTTTAGAATGCTTCCCTCAGAGTGGAAGTAGATACAAAATCAATGGTCTTAAATTCACCACAATGTGCGCTCTTTTCAACTGATAAATTTTATGTGTTTTTAATTTTGATAAAGTCCATAGTCAAGTTTTAACGTGGGGGTGTTTTTAAACTCAGGTGAAATTAGTTAGATTGTACTAAAAATAAATTATTGCTAAATAGGCTTAAGTTAGTGTAGACGGCAATCTTACAAGTTTGTTATTTAATTCTATTTCCTGGAAAATCTTAGTAAAAGCACAACACCACTGCCGTTTATAGTTATAGAAAAAACTGTATTGTATAAAACAACTTCTAAAACACTCCATCCGCCGCATTATCCTACAGAAGCACAGCCTGTACCATCGTTGTGTTATCGGACGATGTCAGCAACCTTAAGATGCTGTTCTTAAACGAGTCTCTGGAAAACATTACTTCTTTATGCAAGTTTCAGAAGATATCGAACCAAAACACAAAGTTGCCCAAAACATTCGAGACAAATTACTCATCTGTTGTTTTTTCTGAAGCTCTGCTTTACTTTTTTCAGAGAAAAACCGTCATAAAGCTCGCAACATTTATAATTTTTTACTGAATCCATTCAAGTAATGTCTCCGTAATAAATTCTTGATTTAATCATCCGTGTATGTGCTGATCTTTGTCTACCATCCCCACATAATGAACTCCTTCATTTAATCAGTCTGTTATAAAGCGTTGTCTTAGTCGGTTTTCGTATCGGATTAATGATTATCTGAAGAGATGACACAGCACATCTAAATGTTTCGGTCTCAGAGTTGCGTTCCAATAATCTCTATTTCAAGTCTTGTGTAATAATTTTGTTACAATATTTCACCACTGTGGAGTATGTCATGAATACAGATAACTTAATTTGCCATCGGCAAATGTTAATTTAATCATCTATAACGTAACTGTTTTTATCTAATAATGTAACATCCATTTCGCTTCATAGTGAAGCTTGAAACCAGTTTCAGAATTAACTCATTAACACCCTGCTAGCTATTATTAGAACATATCTACTTACGTTTGCCACCCTATTAGTAAATTAATCTCTTATCGCATGTCAGCTGAAAAATTAATTAAACACATTATCTTATTACTTTTTAAACTAAATGAAAAGAAAACGGTCAGGCAATCACAGAACGTAATCAATTCACGATTTTTATGTCATCACAGAAAGCTTAAAAAGTTTAATCGAATTTAAACTTTTCCGAGTAGTACAGGAAAAAGCCTTCTCTTTTGGAATAATTAACAACAACAAAATTAACCGAAGACTTGACCGCATACTGAAGCTTAGAAAAATCGTACACGTTCTCTAAATTTTCCATTAGCGTCATGAATATGCAAATGTAAATATGCCACCAAACGGCTTCAGGCATGTTGGAGTTTTAAATTCACTAGAATGCTGCCGTTGCAAATTTACTTTGTATTTGTCGGCTCTAACAAGGTTTCTCCCATCAACTAATAACGTATTGGAAACCAGATTCATTAGACGTTTTTAGATTAATTTTGTAAATATAGATATAACAAACGAAAATAGATGAACTCAACAACTATCATATCTCTAATGATCAAAAAACAAATTATTTGTTTCTTTTTATCGAATTTATTATTTTTAAATGTAAATTTCTTAAATTTCTCGGCAAATACAAGGGTTCCAAAATAGACAAACAAAAAGATTTAGCGAAAAACGAGTAATACATTCTGGAGCTCATTTTTTGAGGAAATAATATTGGTTAAAACCGCATTCCCGCTATCATCTTTTGTTTTTGACTTATTGACAAAAATTGACATTTTAGCGAAATCTTAAAAAAATCGTATCTTTGTTATTATAGAAGACACGTAGAATTTAATAATGTAGTTAAGAATTTTTTTCAGTTGTTTGTTTAGTTGTAATAAAATAAACTTGTATTTTTTTTAATGGGAATCATAGATGGCTGTCATTTTTAAAAAGTTTGTTTTTTTCTTATCTAAAAAATATATATACTCGTATTTGAAACAAATTATTATAATATATTTTTAGCAAAAAATTATCTTTGATTTTTGTTCGCAGTTGGCCATGAAAAAATGTTGCATCTTCAACTAAAAGGATTTAAACTATATTATTCAACCAGTGTCACTAATGAAAGAGTTTTCTAAGTAATATAAAATGAAAAAAATGCAAAATAAATCATAAATCAACTTATTGGCGACTAATAACATTTCTTTGTTTTTAAAGAAGCTAATATTACCATTGTAACTTCTAGTCATACATAGAGTATTGTAAAAAAAGCCGCTTTAATTCCCTAAAATATATTTTATATGACACAAAAATGACGATATGGCTATTCAAATACCCAAATTCCGTCTATGTGGAACGTTATTCTACTTCTATTAGGTCATAAAAAATGTTTTTTCTAATTGTGTTGACTGTTGACACATTTGTTTTTCCTATCTTTGGCGCTCGCATATTTGTTCAAAACTTCTAACGTATCGCATTTTTTTTAATTTTTATAATTTTATCTATTTGTTCATCTATTTTACAGTTTACAAAACTCTTATTGATTATTATTTACACAACTATTACACTAACTATTATCAAACAAAATATGTATTTCACTTTTTAAGTACAATTATAAAAAAATATTCTCTTACAAATACATATTTTTTAGATCAGAAAAAATAAGCTTTTCAAAATTGCCATAGCCGCCT